TGTGTGACAAAAAAGGCCTGATATGTGGCAGACGGGGGACTGGCTTTGCCACCACTGCAATGCACCTGCTCACGCAGCCATCTCTGTGCCAGTTTTTGGCAAAAACCAGCATCTCTTGCCCCACACACTGTACTTACTTGACTTCACTTCTTGCGAGTTCTTTTTGTTTCTGCGAATGCAGAGGAATATGAAAGGACAGCAATTTGATGATGTGGAAGAGGTGAAGAAAAAAATGAGGGAGGTGTTATCAGCCATCCAAACATGAGTTAGAAAACTGTTTCCAAAAATGGAATGGCAGATTTGACAAATGTGTTAAGTGTAATGGAGAGTCCTTTGAAAGTGATAAGGTTGCTTTGTAAAAAAACTTAAATGTATACCTTTGGGGAAAATAACCCAGTTTCTTTTGGGTCTTCCCCCCACCCCTATCCCCCACCCCGGGGCCTAAAATATCACATGGGCTGAATTGTGATATCACATGTGATCTTTATTTTACTTAGAGCTCTTTACAGTCTCTGATTTCTTTTAAAATGAGAGTGTGCATTTGCTCTGGTGTAAAGGATGAAAGAAGAATGGCAGTGTGCAGAACAGTTCCGTAGTAGGTCTGAGACTGTTATCCTTAGAAAGGCCTGCTTGCAAGGTTAGCCCTGGGCTGGCATCTGGAACTTAATTTCTAGAGGGTTCCCACTGTTCCCTAAGAGATAAGGGTGGTTCACTGTATTAAGACAGTGCAAGCAGTGTGGTGTATACTGAACACCTGCTCTTCTTCTCGAGCCTGAAATTTTGGTACACGCTAGGCATTCTCCAATAAAACCCCGGGCACGGAGTGTCTGTCTAATGGGTTTCTCTGGGCAGACACATTGCACACAAGCTGCTGAGTGTCACTGCTGGAGGAGGCATGTGCGCCGTGTGAGGCCTGGTGGGAGGGAGGCATAGGAAGCCTGCCCATTTATTCCATCAGATTCCACTTGTGCCTTTTCCCTTTTTGATCTGCCTCTATCTGTATATTATTGCTGAAATAAGTCTCAATCACACTTACAACAAGGAGTCCTGGTGGCACAGTGGTTTACTCACTGGGCTGCTACTTGCTGTAGGTTGGCAGTTCAAACCCATCAGCCAGAAAGATGAGGCTTTCTGTTCCTATAAATATTTACCTCCCATGACACCCACAGGAGCCGTTCTACTTTGTCCTCTAAAAGTCCTCCAAGAATCAGAATTGATCATAAGTGAAAATGGACTCAATGGCAGTGAGTTGCGCTTGGGTTGGTACAATTACAACTACAGGCGGAGTTCCTTTTTAGCAAACCTCTGAATGTGAGGATGATCTTAGTGTAGTACAATGGAATTAGAGGAAGGCAAGAGTGAAGTGAGTAGACCAACTAAGAGACTTAAAATTAGGCTAGAAATAGCAAAACAGTTAAACTTAAGTGTGGCAGCAGAAATGGAGAGAAAGGAACTGTGATTGCGACATTCAGAGTGGGCACTATTAGGTAAGTGATGGTCAAGCAGGAATGACTCCCATGCCACCTATTTGAAGAGTTTATTGAATAATGATACCGTATATGGAAATGAGCAGCAGAGCAGGTTCGGAAGGAATGATGGTGATGGGCAGTTTTAAGATCTGACTTGTTAAAAAAATCTACCTTATCACCATCACGGTGATTCTGACTCACATCAGCCCTCTAGGACAACAAGCAGAACTGCTCCTTAGAGTTTCCACGACTGCTTGAGGACAGCTTAAGCCATTAGAATTTGAGATGATTCCACAGCTCGGGCCGGAAAAATCTGGATGCCTCTTCCTTACAAAGGAAGGTCCGCACTGGCTGCGCTGTACACATTTCCACATGAAATCATTTCAGTTTGAAAGACTTAGTTTCACGATGCTATTTGACAGAGAGACGCTAATATACAGTGTATAAAAGGCGGGTGTAATACAAAGAAAGCAATGTCTAAGTGTTTAGTGATATAAATGAGTAGTTCAAATGTGTTTTTTTAATTTATGACTATTCGTAAGTATTTATATCCCTGGGATAGGTACTTGTATCTGTCAATCCAGGGTAGTCAAGTCCATGCTGACCCATAGTGCTCCAATAGGATAGAATAGAACTGCTGCCCTTTGGGTTTCCAAGGCAGTAAATCTTTTTTTTTTTTTTTTTAGCATTTTATTAGGGGCTCATACAACTGTTATCCCAATCCATACACACATCAATTGTGTAAAGCGCATTTGTA